AAAAACAAGAACTCTCTCCTCATGCACATCTATGGTGGTAGATTATATGGAGTGGTAATGACTGGCCAGCAAGAATAGGTCTTCCCCGTCATATCAAATGGAGCAAACCCATCTGAAGATAAACCAAGGCAGACATTACGGGGTTCCTGAGCAAAATCATGATGTGTTTCATCAAAGTGCAACCATGCTTCAGCATCTGATGGATGTGTCAAGGAATCATTATTTCTTTCATGTTCCCGATGCCATCTCATCTAACAAGCTGTCTGCTCTGAAGAGTATAATCTTTGAAGCCTAGGTACAAGGGGGAAGTACCACATTTTTTTTACTGCTGAAGCTTTCTCCTTTCCATTTTTTGTTACATATTTATATCGATTTTCCCCACAAAATTCACATTTAACAAGTTGTGAATGTTCTTTATAGAACAACATGCATCCAGTGGGGCAACAATGTATCTTCTCTCCTTTAAGACCGAGATTCTTCACAGATTTTTTTGCATTATAAAAATCCTTTGGCATGGAATGCCCTTTTGGCAAGACATCTCCAACAAACTTCATCCATTGATTGAAGCACCCCTCAGTCATTCGATAATCTGTTTTCAAGCTTAGGGCTGTCAGACAAGCAGATAAGGTGGTGTGTGTCTCACAACCATCCCACAATGGAAGTTGGGAAGCTTGAAGCATGTTGAAAAATTGTTGTGTTTCCGGATTAGGATCTTCATGCATTAACTGTTGAATTTCATCTGTGTCACCCTGTAGGTGCGCTCCAATATGTGGACCTGCAGCATCCATGATCAATTGCTCATATTGTTCATAGTTATCTCGTTGACCACTTCCGCCATAATATGAGTGTCTTTCAACCACTGGGGGAGGATTCGGATGAGATTCTCCATGACTCGACCAACAATAATAATCAGGCATGAAGCTGTACTTACACAAATACACCCTCACTGTGTCTGCATTATGAAATTTCGTACACTTGCACTTCTTACAAGGACAACGAAACTCAGTCGTTGAGTTGGTGCTATTTTCAATTGCAAACTGTATGAACCTTTCATTTCCATGTTGGAATTGTAAAGTGATTGACCTTGAATCATCTATGCGATTGTGCATCCAACTCCTATCATTTGATCCTTCCATAGAGTTAAAAATGAAAAGAACTCTGCAAACCATACCATGAACATGTAGTATTAAAGGAATGAATGACATAGAATGTGAACATTTTGAAAGAGCATATCTTCTTTAAAGCTTCTGAATTAATATGTAATGAGACAGAATATCGTGACATGTATGGCAAAGAAGATAGAGTGTAGCTTGTTAAAAATAAAATAAAAAAGCATAATTTGTATGAATGCATGCTTTGAAAGTACCTCACAAATGCAGAAATGGAGCAAACTAACCTGGAAGTCTATATGACGCCTCCTAAGAATGTTTTGATATTTTTTATAGACCAACTGTGGAAAGCGTCCGGATATGCCTGATTGAAAGGCGGGGAAACAATAGGTAAATATTTCTTTGTAAGATAAACTATTGGTCAACCAAAATTCAAGCACAGTTATACTTTGAGGACATTATGACATGTATAAAGATTGCCTCCTCGGTTGACAAACTCAACATTGGTTGTGCCCTGTTGTAAATATTAGAAATATGAAATAGAAAAACATGAATGGAAAAATAAAGACTTACCTCTGAACTGAATTACAGAACATGTTTTATTCTAAGCTAAATAATAGAAAATTGGATAATGGGTTAATGAGTTCGTGGTTGCCCAAGAAAATCCAAGTTAACTACTTCAGTGACTTAATATGTTGAGTTGGAATAGTTTAAATAAATTATAGATGAGAAATTTATATATATATAGCATACAGCATCTATACTTAAGTAGATATATATATATATATATAGTCATATAGATGAGTGTGCGTGACTGCAAAGGATGCTTCTTTGTCTCTCTGACTATTCAATATTATCCGACAAGAAATTTCCATGTGTAACTTTTAAACTGTTCTTTGGTTCCTCTTTATCGTATCAATACACTTTTCTTTCATCTTTATTTGCTTTTTCTAGCAATAACCTCCTCGGAACTACCACACATAGAGGACGACAAGTATAAAGGTTGTGAAATAAAGAGAGAAAGAAAACAAGGAGACATGGGAAGGCCACCTTGTTGTGACAAAAAAGGTGTCAAGAAAGGTCCTTGGACCCCTGAAGAAGATATCATATTGGTCTCTTATATACAGGAACATGGTCCTGGCAATTGGAGGGTTGTTCCCACCAAAACAGGTTAATACCCTCACTATGTTTTTTTTTTTTTTTGTGATTTTGAGTATAGGCTATGCATGATCAATAAAATTGTTATTCAAGAGAACTTAATCTGAATTGGTTTTACTTCACTCATGATCTGAATTGATTTATTCATCTTATTGGGGTTTTCAGGGTTGTCAAGACAACACAGGTCATAGGAGTATCACATTATTGTACTGGTTTTTTTTTACATTAAACACAAAATGCAACTGAGTCTACGTGACAGAATGCAACGTGTCAGATGGATTATAAGTAAAGTGGAAAACATAAAGGGGCCTAACCATATTCTCAAAGTCCATTTCGGCACCCAAACATGACTCCATCTAGGGTCACATGCACGTCAGAGATTGTGGGCAAGGGCATGTGCTTGCTTACATTACTATGGACACGAGAATTGGCAGTGTAGGATCTATGGCTCAGTTGCTCCAAAACATCAAAATATCCTTCATTGCTATTTCAGAGTTTTTTAAATTAATTTCCCTATTATAAAACTACTAGTTATCCCTTCACCTCCATCGACAGTACACTAAGAGTATACTAGAGTTTTCTGGAAAAACCAGACCTTTCTGTTGATGGGCAACGTGGCTAGCTTGCTGCAAATGGTTATCACTTTTTCTTGGGAATGTAAAATAACAATGTGGCCCCAGTCTCCATTCCCCCTCCAAGGGTAACAACTAATTAGCTGCAAAGCGTAAAACCTAGCTAGCTCCAAAATAAACAGAGATATTTGCCTTAGCCATAAACTATCGACTAACACATACAGTGATGAGAAGCAATACCTCAAGAAGTGCTTTGAAACAGAAAGTGAAGCAAGTAGCAGAGTCCTTGTCAATAGCAATCAAAACCTGAAATTCCCCACAACATAAACAAAACCAAAAAAAATCAAAGCTTTCCATTATCAGAGATGGGGCTCATGAAGAAAACGAAAAAAAAAACTTACAAACAGAGGTCAGTAATGGTGGGCGAAGAAGTGTCATGACCTTGAAGGTGAACCCTAAACAGACGTCATCTGAATGCAAAATATATATCACACACTCATTGTGATTTAAAAAAAAGGGAAAATTTCATTTTCACCCATTGTGGTTTTGTGTTTTATCATTACGACTCCCTGTGGTTTTAAACTTATCACTTAGACCCATTGTGCTTAAATAATTTATCATTTAACCTCTCGTGGTATCAATTTATCACAAAACCACAATGGGTGAAAATGAAGTTTTCCCTAAAAAAAATATCATTTAACCCTAAAGTCTTAGTTACCTTGTGATAACGAAATATATCAGTTTCACCGTTGTTGTCTTAATAATTAAAATTTATATTCCAATATCTTGCAAGTAATTTATTTAGGAATTAATTTATAACTCTATCTTAATTTTTTTACATTATTTAAATATATTTAAAAAATAGAATAAAATTTGTTTAACATAAAGTAAATGGGGACGGTTATACTTACCACCAGGTAAGTTTACCACCCTTACAACCAATCTCCTAAGCTATAAATTAGAATTAAATTTAACGGCCCATAATTATTCCTTATAATCCTAATTTTTTCTCTCTCATCCCCTCTTTGTCTCTCTCTAGGTTTGGGATCTGCACACACCTCTCTCTAGGTTTGGGAATCAACTCTCTCAGTCATTTCACAACAAAATAAAAATCTTAGCAATAAACTAATCGTAAGTAAACATAATTATTTCCAGTGCAGTTTCTGACGATTATCAAGATTCAATCAGCAGAAAGCACAAGAACTGATTGATAATCACACATTTGCTTTGCGATAAAAATTAATAGAGCATATTTCAAAAGGACCTAGAAATCAACGCATAATCAGGCATTGTTTCTGTTCGTTGTTATTAGCATATTTACAGACATAAAATTTCACAAATGGCACACTGACTTCGTTGTTATAATCATGATAATAATACAAGCACCTCCAGCACGAATATCAAAGAACCCTAGAGTAAAAAAATTAGCTCCAATATATATTGTGCTCGTCGTTCCTGAGCTTCTTCCTAATTTTAATTTTTATATGTACGAACAAGATGGACTTGCCAGCCACGAGCTTGAAAGAATTTAGAGAGAGAGGTGTGTGCAGATCCTAAACCTAGAGATAGAGAGGGGATGAGAGAGTAAGATTTAGGATTATAAGGGAATGTTATGAACCGTTGGATTTAATTTTAATCGGACGGTTAGGAGATTGGTTGTAAGGGTGGTAAACTTATCTGGTGGTAAGTATAACTGCCCCCAAATTAAATATGTATTATCAAAATAAGATAAGAAATTTTTTTAATAATCTCCTAAAAATATCACGTAGACCCCCCGTGATTTTAAATTTATCACTTAAACCCACTGTGGTTACACATTTTTTCACTTAAACCCCTAATGGTTTAAAAATTAATCAAGTACAAAAGATTTTTAAAAATAATTTTCTCTCTTTTTTCTTTTCTTTTCTTTCCCTTACATTCACATGATATATTGCAACTCATACATATTTTCTTACTTGTTCATAACATACTTCTTTCTTTTCTTTCATTCTGTAATACATCCATGATCAATGACCATAGTCAAAGATCACATAAGGCAATTAGGATATGACCACAAATGTCATTCCAGATGGATGTGTCAAGGACAAAGTTCCGTTTGTTTTCTCGTATAAATGGGGATATAATCCCACTCTCATAACGTCCAATTTCACATATAAGGCCAAAGAAAGAATTTATTCATTTTTCTTTTTATTCATATAATATTTAGATCCATATAAGTGCTCAGTAGCACAAACAATCACTCCTAAAACATACTTCCTATGTAAATGGCTAAGAGCCATATAAAGGAAACAATGCCAATTTAATGTCTAGCAATGTTTTAGTCTTCCAAATTCAAGCTTATCTTCAACGGAATAATAATTCGGTCGAAAAAATCATAAAATTAATTTCTTTTTGATTTATTTTTTTGAAATTGTTTTCGACGGAATTATTTTTCCGTGAAAAATATTTGACGAAAATATGATTTTCGTCGAAATTTGCATAAAATTAATGTTTTTTTATTTATTTTTTTGAAATTGATTTCGACGAAATTTCATTTCCGTGGAAAATCTTTGACGGAATCAGTTTTTCGTCAAATATTTCATAAAAAAAAAAAATTTTGATTTTTTTTTTTTTGAAATTGTTTTCGACGAAATTCCATTCCCGTGGAAAATCTTCGACGGAATCAGTTTTCCGTCGAACATTTCATAAAATTAATTTTTTTTTGTTTTATTTTTTTGAAATTGTTTTCGACGGAGTTACTTTTCCGCGATGAATCTTCGACGGAATCAGTTTTCCGTCGAAGATTTCATAAAATTAATTTCTTTTTTTATTTATTTTTTTGAAATTGTTATCGACGGAATTCCATTTCCGTTGAAAATCTTCGACGGAATCAATTTTCGGTCGAAGATTTCATAAAATTAATTTCTTTTTCCATTTATTTTTTTGAAATTGTTTTCGACGGAATTCCATTTCCGTGGAAAATCTTCGACGGAATCAGTTTTTCGTCGAAGATTTCATAAAATTAATTTCTTTTTTTGAAATTGTTTTCGACGGAATTCCTTTTCCGTGGAAAATTTTCGACAGAATAGAGATTCTGTCGAAAAATTCATAAAATTAATTTCTTTTTGATTTATTGTTTTGAAATTGTTTTCGACGGAATTAATTTTCCGTGGGGAATCTTCGACGGAATCAGTTTTCCGTCGAAGATTTCATAAAATTAATTTTTTTTTGTTTTATTTTTTTTGAAATTGTTTTCGACGAAATTCCTTTTCCGTGGAAAATCTTCGACGGAATAGAGATTCTGTCGAAAAATTCATAAAATTAATTTCTTTTTGATTTATTGTTTTGAAATTGTTTTCGACGGAATTACTTTTTCGTGATAAATCTTCGACGGAATCAGTTTTCCGTCGAAGATTTCATAAAATTAATTTCTTTTTTCATTTATTTTTTTGAAATTGTTTTCGACGGAATCATTTTTCTGTGGAAATTCTTCGACGGAATTAGTTTTCCGTCGAAGATTTCATAAAATTATTTTTTTTTTGATTTTTTTTTTGAAATTGATTTCGACGGAATTTCATTTCCGTGGATAATCTTCGACGGAATCTCTTTTCCGTGGTAAATCTTCGACAGAATTCGTTTTTCGTCAAAGATTTCATAAAATGAATTTCTTTTTAGATTTATTTTTTTGAAATTGATTTCGACGACATTCTTTTTCTGTGGAAAATCTTCGACGGAATTAGAATTCCGTCGAAAAATTCATAAAATTAATTTCTTTTAGATTTATTTTTTTTGAAATTATTTCCGACGAAATTATTTTTCCGTGGAAAATCTTCGACGGAATCAGATTTTCGTAGAAAATCTTCGACAGAATCAGATTTTCGTCGAATATTTTTTACGGAAAATAATTTCCGTAAAAAATTATCGACGGAATACATTTTCCATTGAAATTTTCGTCTTTAATTTGGACAGAATATTTTTCGTCGAAAATTTCCGTCGAAAATCTTGACTTTTCTAGTGGTGAGTAAAGCGGGTTTAGTTTTGAAACCACCTCATCTCTCGCTTTTTTAGACGAAAGCCTACCACCTGGACTGCTATACTTGCTAGACTATTTGGTGAGTTTTGTGGCCTCAATGCACACACAACGTGGCCAATCCATTCTCGTTGTGTGTTGTTGCGAGTTTAGTAACGTGATAGTTTGAAGAAGAAAAAATTGATCTCTCACGTTCAGTAAATATTTTTAAATTTTATGGTAGTACGATCAATATCCTCATACTCGTACATCCCTACACATATAGCCATCTATTCATCCGCACGTACACACACACGCACGAGCATAACCAGTCTAGCAAGTTAGTGGCCTACGACTTGGATTGTTTGTGGCCTACCCTGCCTTGGCCCGTTTTAAAAGTAATACAAGCTTGAATTGTAACCATCTTGCATAATGGTGCATTGTTGTGTAATTAGTCTCCCTATTCATTCTCAAAGTCTTATATAAAGGGATGTGTTCTCTATAAAAAAATAAACTAATAAGAATTGGTGATATTGTCCTACTTTCTCCCTTTATTTCATACTTTCTCTATTTTCTATCTTAGTTTTATAATATATTTTTATTTTCTTTCTTAGTTTTATAACAAATTTATTTTATAAATTAGATTGTATTCAAGCAAATAATTCTAGTTTAATTATTTCAACAAAAAATTTAATAAATCTTGTAATAAAAAAATTATTATTGAACACATTAATTCAATGAACTCCTTGATATTATATATTTTTACCTAAACTATTATTTTCATTTGTTAAAAATATTAGGAAAATATTTTCAAAGAAAAGCTTTTTTAATTTTTGATACACAAGCATGCAAATACATACTACGTTCTTGAAGGCACAAATATACACACATATGATAGTAATTAAATTATTTGTGACATTTTACCAACAAAAAAAATTTTATTTGTGACAAAAATGAAAAGAAAATCATAAATTCATTTTAAATTTACTTGCTAAATGAGAGTCAAAGAAAAGTGAGGACAATTACAAATAGTAAACTATATATTAAGTGAATTAATTTTATTTAATATTGATTTAAATAAAGAAAGATGTCATGTTGAATGCATTTAGTGATCTCCCATACACTGAACATTTCTCCTATTTTTTAATAAAAACTAAGTTTTTTAAAATAATATTATTGAATTATCAAACATATCTTTAAATTCTTACGCCTCTGAGTTTTTAAATAAACCAATATTTTGAATTATTTATTTATATAGAGTTTTGGTGATAGAGATAGGAAATACGGAACCAAATGATAGTAGTTCAATTGATGACAAGGAATTGAGTAGGTGAAAGTGAGAGCATGTATTAGATCCTCTCCAATATTGTCTTTGGGAGGGGTTTAAATCCTTAATCCTGGGACACATCTTGAATAGAATTAATCTCAAAGCGATGAATCGATTGGAATATCTAAAAAAAAATAAGGATGGTTGGCCAACAGTTTTTTATTTATTCTTTTCTTTAATTGCATATGACTTTATAATATATGAAAATATATTTTAAGTGTTTAAAAATTATATTTGAATCTTAGATTATATATATTGAGAGAAACTATTGGAATTTAAATATTTAAATAAAACATTTTAAAATATATTTGAACAAAAAACGGTCATTAAAAACATTCAATGATGTCCTTAATATTAGATATTTTCAATATATTTATTTAAATTTATTATTTATATAAGAGACTTTCCTTTCTTTAATTATATCATTAAAAAATAATTAAATCACATGTCTCTCATGTTCCAAAAAAAAAAAAATCACATGTCTTTCCACCTAATTATTACAAAAATTAATATTTACTAGGCAAGTCAATTAAAATCTTGCCAAAACTGACAATCTACATGCGCATGACCTTGAATTCAAAATCTTAGAAAATAGAAAGAAAAAAAAAATTGAGCGATGACCGAAATAAATGCATATGACTGTAATAAAGGAAGAGTAAAAGGCTATTTTTCTTTTTAGGGTTAAATATTTTTGCTTTTAATGTAGAAAATATTTTTTGTCACATTGATATAAAATGAGTTGTTCTCACTAATTTTTTTTTTCTTTCTTCTCTTAATATTGAGATCTATTTACTTTTATGTGAGTAGCAGAAAATTTGTTTCTATAATAAAAATAGAAATATTTTTCTATTTTTTTGATAGACATATTCAGAAATTGAGGTAAAAAAAGAAAACTGAATGGGAAAAATATAATTGTTGACATGCCAAATATAAAGAAATAGAGAAGAGAGCGTTTCATTAATACATACACAACCCTCAATTCAAAATCGATAAAATAGATAAAGAGTTGAATGGAAAACAAAAGAAATCTATAATATAAAATAGGAAGTAGGATATTTATATTACCAAATTTTTCTATTACCACTTTAATTATTATTGGATTTATTTTATTTTTTTCTCTTTCCATTCAACTTTTCTTTAATTCAATGGTGATTAGAGTGGTAACAGAAAAATTTGGTAGTATGAATATTTTACCTAATAAAAAAAAGTAAATTATATATATATATATATATATATATATATATATATATATATATAAATTATTTAGTATCTGATCACCAATAAGGACCGATTAATTGTGATTCGAACCAAAAAAACATATAACAAATGCAGAAAGCAAAAGAACGTGAGAGTTTTCCTTTTGTTTTCTCACCAATATATTTTAAAATAATTGGAGGGGGAGTTACAAAAAATTTTAAATTCAAAAAATTAAGAACTAGACAATAGAGTGAATATAATAAGTAATGGGCAAAGAGGTGACACGAGGAATTGCAGTACAAGGGCGTGGAACAATTTGTCAACAGCCCTCCTTGACACCTTACTACTGCAAGCGTTTCTAACATTTCAAGAGTTGCCATATAAGTACACTAAGTCAGAAACAGAATTTTCTATAATATTGAAATAAAAAATTGCATCCAATTCAAAATCTAGGGTGGTCCCCACAACCATCTCTATTAAATCTTGAAGTGAAGCAATCACATGCTTCACTTTTGATAGATATACACACTAGAGAAACACAGAGTAAAACAAATTGTGAGTGAAGCCAGAGCCACCAACTTTCCTGTCCCAGCGCCTATCATTTCTTATACTCACAGATCTTTTGGGTATAATCTCTTCTCGATTTCTACATCTAGCTTGTTTATGTGACATAAATGGATGAGATTCATTTTATTAACGGGCATGACCACTTTCTTATGACTATTGATTTTGTTAAATGATTTTTTAAAATGGGATTTTGATGTGTATGCATGTGTTATTTCATTCCTCATTTGTGCTCAGTCTGCTTGCATTATTCTCCATCAACTTAATTTGTCGAGGATTCATGGTATCTATGAATCTCAATTTTATTTTTATACAAATTGATGTTCTGTGCAATTTGGTATTTAGGGTTTTCATTTGTCAAAAGTAAAATTAAGATTAAACTATTATTATTTATTTTAATTACAATTTTATCGGCACATATCTATTTTCATTTAAAAAAATCACACATTTTTCTGCTTTTATCGGAACCTATTCCTCACTCATGAGAAGAGTATATAGATTTTTTTCAGACGAAAATTATATTCAACATGAAATGTAAAACCGTCAGTAATTTTATTGATTTGATTAATTTAATTTTTTTATTATTTTATAATTTAAAATTATTTTATTTTATTAAAATTTAGTGGAAATTATGATCTAACAATAATATTGGAGAGTGAAAGATAAGATAGATATATATAAAAAAAGATAGATAGAATAACATATGTAATATATTATTTTTCATGCTTATTTTATCTACCAATCTCCAATATTTAGATCAGAATCTCAAAAATAAAGAGAAATAATAAAAATTAATTAAAATTCTAATCTAAATGTTGAAAGTGATAGATAAAATAGATATAAAAAAAAAAAGTAAATAGAATAATTTATTTCTTATTATATTATTACATTATTTATTATTTTTTGAATGATAGTAAATAGGCTAATAAATGGGGTGTCAGAATTAAAGGATCAGTTTTGTGACTTTTGTCTGACTGAGGATTCCAAGGCAGGCCTAGTTATTTTGTGTGACGTCAGGTTGCGGAAGATACGAACTAGGAAGTTTCAAAGTCAAGTGGAAATTAGTTTTATCATATAGGTTCTAATGTTATAATAAATAAAGTGTCTCTGCGCCAAAACTGCACGGAAAAGAGTTTGGGAGAATTTCCAAGGGTAAGAGTTCTAAAGATAGATGTGAAGTAAGGATCACGTAAGAGAAGAGGTTTGAAGAATTAATGGAGTGGACAAATGGGTTTTGAAATATTAGTGTAGTACGAGTGGGGGTGTTTGAGCTTTAAGATTGGGAAGAGAAATGGTGAGGAATAGAGAGAGCTTGAAGCTCAAAGTTAGTGTAGTCCGAGGTTGTCTGAGTTACAAAGTTGAAGTACATCTAAAGTTAGATTTAGTAAGATAAGACTATCCAAGGTTGATTGTGTAAATACTATCCAAGATTTAGCAAGATAAGAGGTGATGAAGAGTGGGACCACAGGATTCAAACATGGAGATTAGTATAATTCAAGGGAAGGAGAAGTCAAATTCGTGGAAGAGAAGAGATAGCAAAGAGCGAATCTAGGTAGATAAGAAAATATAGAAGAAAAAAAAAAGTATAAATTCCTTACTTAAAGAGTAAAGACCCATATTTATATGTGTGGGATTGTAGTAACCAGCTAAGTGATTGTGCATTTAACCTTGTGTGGGTGCATGGGTATAGGATGAGACTAAATTGGATTAGAAGGGTATGCAGTATACTTGGCTAAGAACTATAATTATTCATCAACCTATGATTAGGGTATTTCTATCCATAACAAAGCAAATAAATTATGTGTGGGCTTTCATATTGGTTATCTTGATTCTTTCCCTCGAAGTTGAACTCCACATGTTAGTGTTTAATGCAAACTAGTTTTGGTTCCTGATATACATGCAATCCATTTTTTGTTTTAATTACCACTTTGGGCAGAATTTTCCAAACAATGCTTACCTTCAAATATTATTACAATGTTCAATAGTATTTTTCTTTTGGTTCCCATGCAGGTTTACCAACTCACTAGGAAAACCACACAATGAACCCTCAAGGTGAGATCACCTATAATTCCTTATCCCTCAAAAATTTTAAATTGACCATGATCATGATTTGGGTTATACAAGGATAAACGCATGCATGATATATCTATACATTGCTTGCACTGTTTAACTCTATGATGTCCTTATACAGGAGGCCAAATCGGACAAGTTACTGGTAATGCAAACATTCGAAACAGGACAAGAAGGTTTCGTTCTTCTTCAAGTTCCTTCACTTATGGAAGGGGTCAATTGCTCCAATCTAGGTTTTATGGACAATACATGAATCTCCCTCAAGAGAGTGCTAATATTGTTCTAAGTAATGGTCGCGGTGCTGCTGTTTCACACCATGATACCGTTGCTACAATGCAGAGATTGACTCCTCCTTCGGGTTCCCTTACTATAAGTCCTCAAAGGTTTTCTGGATCAAATGTGCTTCAATATCAAGGGACTACTCGTACTATCCCTCAGAGTAATGTAGACTCAACTGCTGAACGTGTAGGGAACATTAATCCTTCCATGAATCAAAGGAACAATAATGTTTTACCTATCAAGAGAAGCTCAACTGATGATGTTCCGAGAGAATTTTTAGTAGGTGAAAGTTCCAGCATGGGTGCTGCTGCTGGAACAGCTAAACGAAGGGGTTCTTCTTCTAATGTCAATGTCAATAACAATGTTCCTGTAGCTTCAGTTTCTGAGATGCAACCCTTGAGTCAACCTGCACAGACTGAAAACTTTCAGAGTAATATTAATGTGCATTTCACAGGCCCTACACCTCCAGAGGCATTTGCACCCCCAAACAGTTATGGAAGAAGGTTCATTCATGCACATTACGAAACTTTTTCATTTGGTGCAAGTTCCTCAAATCCACGTCGAATTCGGTTTCCTCCTAGTGTTCGTGAAGTTCATTATGTGAGTTCAGGAAATGCTCCTCCAGCAATGATGCCCTACTATAGCCAGGGAAACATTCAAGGAAATGTCATGCTTGGTCCTCAAGTTCAATTTGGAAGTGGAACTGCAATCTATTTTGGAAATGTTCCCCACCCTTCTGGACAATATGCCTCTTTCAGTGGTGTTAATGCATCGAATGTTCCTGCATTGGTTCCTTTGGAGACACCAATGCAAATTTCGAACTATCCTGGAGGTCGAGCATTTGCTTTCCCTGTGCCAAATTGGACCCTTCTGTCTCCATCGCAGCAAATGCAGTTTTCAAGACCAGTTGGAAATTCTAGACCTGAGAACGAGCACAATTCAGCTGCAACATCTGAGATTCAAGCTGGTGTTAACTCTGTGCCCCTTACTATATCATCGCCTTCTTTTAGGTCTATAATGAGACGCAGGTTGATGGCTCAGGTATGCTTAATTAATACTTGCCTTCTTAGATGTTAAAATTCATGTGAATTTATTGTTAACATGCTTTTCTGGATAGTCTATAGCCATAAAGCCAAGAATTGATAGATGTGACAATATTAGAAAATGGAATTTGATTTTTATCATTGCAAGTGAAGTGGGAATATAATGTTCAATGAAGTGAAATGCTAATTATGTTTGTAGTATTAGATCTAACATAGTTCACATATTTTCTGAAACTTACATTAATAGAACGTCAAATATTGTGAAACATATGATAGTTAAACCAACCCAATTTAGTTACTCTTATTATTGGATTTATATATGTAATTATACCTATTGTGGAGATGCATAATTCCATAACCTTTCCAAAGTGCATAATCCTAACAAAAAAAATGCATTATTTCTTAGTTCTAGCGTGTCATTTTGACCAGACATGGAGTCTTTGTGAAGGCTTTTACGGAATTTCAAAAGGACATGAGTTTCCTGAATCCAGTCTTGGGAAATTATAGTATCAAGTATACGAAACTTTGGTGCACCAAACAAGTGTAGTATTGACACATTATTATACACTGTTGATCATATGTTCAAGTTGCAAATGATATCACAATTTTCTTTTGAGTTTGATGTAGAAATTTCTGTTTCTTTTTCGTCGTAATTGATCTGGTAACTATTTTAGCCTTTACCTAGTTAGATGTTTTCATGAATTTCCATGTGTAACAGGCTCGCACTATCGTGCAACGTTTACGCGCTGGTCAGACTCTACTGTTTCAGGTAGATTTTCACCTAATTATATAGGGCAATGCTTTTCTCATGTTAGATGAGATAATATTATCTCATGTAGAGACATAATTGGGTGGGTCCCACGGTTAAAAGAAAAGAAAAAAGAAAAAGAAATGCTGGCTCGGATTGCGATGTGTCTATGACATGAGATAAAAAAATTTATGTAACTTGAGAAAAACTTTTCTCAATTATATATGGCTGGATTTTTATTTTTATTTTTAATATTATTCACGTGTTCATCAATTACTTGACTACTCCAATTGGAGTCAAGTAAGACCACATGATGGACAAATTTCTCCTTACTAAATTTTAACACAACTACATTCGTTGAGACTCGAATTTGAGATTACTGGTTAAGTTAGAATAACCTCTTACAATTTGATCCACGTTGGCGGGATGTTCTTCCACTCAAATCCTATATCTGTTGGCAGAAGTTAAACCTTACATACATTTTCTGTTTATGGTACTGTTGATTTTAAGTCATTAATTGGTAAGTGAAATAAGGGACATGCACAATCTTATAGGATTTATTAATTGAGCCATCCCTTTTAAAGCTAGAATATTCTAACATGATAAAATTCAGTTTGCTTTAGTCATTAACTTCTAATCATCTCTAATTTACAAACGTGCCCTACAGGAAATGATGGTCCTCGACTATTCAGTTGTATTACATTTGCTTGAGGTAAGAGACCCGCAACAGGATGAGGTTAACGTTTCACACGGCCTAAATTTGATATATTTAATAGTGAAGCAACTCATGATTAGCATTTTATTTTATTTTTATTAAATTCTTGTTTGAAGGAAGCATTGCATTTGCACTTATTTTCCTGTTGAAGAAAGAAAACTCCAATGGTGGTCCTAGTTTAGAATAAACTATTTGACTTGAATATTACCCTGGAAATAATGATTTGAAGCTGCAGGATGATGATTTCGAAGAAGAAGAATATGAAGAGGAGAACATGGGACTTACTGAGGAACAGGTCATGAAGCATATTAGGCCTCAAAAATTCGTTTCCGATGAGACTCCAGAAAATAAAGAAGCATGCTGCATTTGCCAGGTGAGACTCGTTACATTTTGATTCATTCGAGAGTAACCAACGAGGAATTTTGAGAGTTTAGATCAAAAAATGGAACTCTTTTTATTGATGATTGAGAAAACTAATTTCTTTGTCTCATTTCTACTATTGTGTTAAGCCTATTTCTCCAATCTAAATTGCATTTTTATCTACTTATTGTCTCTTTTATGTTTTACTTTCTTTTTATGGAGAGTATGTGCATGTTCACATCTCAAGTTCTAAGATCTTGGTTTTGTTTTTTTACATATTTAGGAGTTCTATGTCAATGGAGAACAAGTTGGGAGGCTGGATTGTGTGCACATATTTCACATTGGCTGCATCATAGGATGGCTCAGGCGGAAGAACCAATGCCCCGTCTGCAAATGCAAGGGATTAATAATTATTGATGAAGATGGTGATGAGTAATTCCTGGCTGTAACTTTAAAGACCAGGATTCCAGCTTTGACTTTTCAAGTATGGATAAACTTATTTATGTAATAAGCAAGTACTTTGTGCTTGATGGCTCCTGCAACTTCTTTTTTTTTTTTTTTTATTAAAACTGAATGTTTTTATTTGTCGGTGGACCTGGGATGACATTATACTTGAAGCCATTCCAAGTTCCAACAGAACCTATTTAGTTAATGCTATATCATGGGATGTTTTGAACTAATTTGCTACGCTCTATAACTATCTGCTTGTGGTTTTTCTAATGGCAGCTTATGATCATTTAATTAATTATGATATTATTTACAGTGTGCGTGTATAGTACAGGGATTGTAAGTGTTTATAGGTCTATGCATTATAAATAGGTAGAATCACAAAAAGTATACAATATTTTACTTTTTCAATAAGAGATTTAATTAACCTACTTATTAGGCGAATTTGATTTTCTTTGAAAAGCTATATACAAATTTGTGAAATCTCTTATCAAAATTTATTTTCATATGATTTTTTTTTTAATTGTAACTTTTTTCATATATTTACGGATAATTTTTTTTTACTAGATATATTTTCAGATACTTGTTTGATTATTATTGGATTTAAAATAAATTATATATATAATCTAAAATGTAAGATACAAATGTAAATTTCTACTTCGATATTTCTTAAAAAGCGCAATATTGTAGGCCAACAGGTAAGTTTAGAGAATGTAGAGGTTGGGTCACTCATTTTTTCTCATACCCCATATTTCCATCATAAGGACACACTAGAAGACCTTAAGTTACGCACGCTCAAAGCCATGGAGTCAAGTTCCTGATGAATCACGGAACACACACCTCCATATCCTCATGCTTGCAAAGATGGTTGGAAAGGTTGTGGTGAATGCAGTCACCTAATTCCAGCTGAAAAAAAAAAAAAAATTCTACGCTCGCATTGGGTGAAGAATAATTACAACACAAACTAAAGGGGTTTGAGGCATAAGCAGTCCCGAAGAACATGCACTATTGTCTCCCTATGACCATCAAACGAAGGAATTGGAAAGGGAAGGAAAGGAAAGGAAAGGGAGGATTTTAGTAAACACTTTCTTTGTTTGTGAGTTTAAAAAAATGAGAAAAAGAAATTGGAGATTTTTACTAAACCTTGCAAAATCTTCCTTCTTTTTAAAATTAAAGTTCCCCCAATTTAGAGAGTTTAAGAGAGAAAATATTAAAAATTACTTATCTACCCTTAGCATTAAAGCGTGAAAACTACATAAATGTGACATTATTAGAAAAGTCTCAAATATCGACAGAATTTATCGACGAAAAATATTTCGTCAAAAACAGTGATAATTTTTTTGATGAAAATCATATACGTCAAAAAATTTCCTTCAAAACTAAAGACGACACTAAATTTTGTCATAATCACTAACAAAAAAATTTTACGAAAAAAAAATTCAGTCAAAATTATTCTATAATTCCGTCGAAACTTTCAACAAAAATATTTTCAACCAAAATTTTGACGAAGCACATTTCCATCAAAAAGTTTCGACGTAAAAAATTTGCGTCAAAATTTTTTACAAAAAACATTTCAATCAAAATTTTTCGCAAAATGTTTTGACGAATAATATTTTCATCAAAATTTGTGACTAAAAACATTTCAGTAAAAAATTCTGATGGAAAATTTTTTTTGTCAAATTTTTTTACGAAATCTAAATTTCGACAAAATATTTAAAAAAAAAAAACATATTCATCAAAATTTTTGATGCAAAATATTTCCATCAAAAATTTCAACAAAACACATTCTCATCGAAAGTTTTTGACGAAAAAATTTTTCATCAAAATTCTTTACAGAATTCAAATTTCGTCGAAAGTTTTCGAAGGAAACATATTCGTTAAATTTTTTGACAAAAAAAAATTTCGTCAAAATTTTTCACGAAATACATTTTCATCGAAAATTTTAGACGAAAATATTTTCTGTCAATTTTTTTGATAAAAAATATTTCTATCAAAATTTTCAACGGAGCACATTTCTGTCAAAAAATTTCGACAAAAAAATATTTTCGTAAAAAATTTTGACAAAAAATATTTTCGTAAACATTTTTGACAAAAAATATTTTGAAAAAAAATTTGTCGAAAGTTTCAAATGAAACATTTCCCTCAAAAATTTTGACAGAACAATTTCCGTCGAAATTTTCATCAGAACACATTTCCATTGAAATTTTGAACGGAAAACATTTCATTAAAATTTTGACGGAATTCTTTTTTTCGTTTAAAATATTTGATGGAAGAAATCATTTTCGTCAAAACTTTTGACGGAATTTCGTCGAAAATTTCGATAGAAAATTTATTTATTTTTAAAATTTTCATCGGAGAAAAATTCTGTCGCTTTTCGAAGAAAACTATTCCGACAAAAAAAAAAATTTGTGTCGAAATTTTCATCGTTGCAACGTAGAAATTTTGTTAGAAATTTTAAATTTAATTTAATTTGTCAAATATAATAATTATATTTATTTAAAAAAAGGTAAAATAGTAGAAATATCTCATTAATCCTCTATTTTTCTCCCTCACCATTTTTTAACTCTCAAATAAAGGAAGGGAATACCCTTCAATTGCCTTCTCTTCCTTTCCCTCTCTCCCTTGAATCCCCTTCCTTCCCTTTCCCTCCAAACTTCCAAACAAAGTTACGCACGCTCAAAGCCATGTAGTCAAGTTCCTGATGAATCACGGAACACACACCTCCATATCCTCGTGCTTGCAAAGATGGTTGGAAAGGTTGTGGTGAACGCAGTCACCTAATTCCAGCTGGAAAAAAAAATTAAAAAAATTCTACGCTCGCATTGGGTGAAGAATAATTACAACACAAACTAAAGGGGTTTAAGGCATAAGCAGTCCCGTAGAACATGCACTGTTGTCTCCCTATGACCATCAAACGAAGGAATTGGAAAGGGAAGGAAAGGGAGGGTTTTAGTAAGTCCTTTCTTTGTTTGTGAGTTTAAAAAAATAAGGAAAAGAAATTGGAGATTTTTACTAAACCTTGCAAAATCTTCCTTCTTTTTAAAATTAAAGTTTCCCCAATTTAGAAAGTTTAAGAGGGAAAATATTAAAAATTACTTATCTACCCTTAGCATTAAAATGTGAAAATTACATAAATGTGACTTTATTAGAAAAGTCTTAAATATCGACAGAATTTATCGACGAAAAATACACTACAAGAAAAAATCTTATTAGTGTTGCAAATTTCGTCACTACATATAAAATTTCGTCACAAATTCCTGAGTCGCAAATTTATTTGTAACGAAATTTGATTATTTGTGTTGAAAATTGTCATTTGTGACGAAAATTTTTGTCACAAATAAATTTTTTTCTTGTAATGATATTTCGTCAAAAATAGTGATAAACTTTTTGATAAAAATCATATAGTCAAAAAATTTCCGTCAAAACTAAAGACGAAACTAAATTTTGTCATAATCACTGACATACATTTTTTACTTTCAACAAAAATATTTTCCTCCAAAATTTTGACGAAACAGATTTCCATCAATAACTTACGACGTAAGACAATTGCGTCAAAAATTTTTACAAAAAATATTTCAATCAAAATTTTTCGCAAAATGTTTTGACGAATAATATTTTCATCAAAATTTGTGACTAAAAACATTTCAGTAAAAAATTGTGCTGGAAAATTTATCTTGTCAAATTTTTTTACGAAATCTAAATTTCGTCAAAATATTTAAAAATGAGTGTTACAAGGTTAGTGTAGTAAAATGAGTGTATCTTGAGCTAGAGAACTCCAAATTGAGTGAGATTTGAACCTATGTAAAGCTAACTCAAAGATCTATAACCTTACACAATCTTAGGATTATTGATAAGTGGATAAATCTTGGTTCTATTTTAAATTTGTTGCTTTACTTCCGGAAGTCTGATTTGGAGCAGCCATCTTATGAGTTGCATAATTCCGGCTATACTTAACCAAATGGTTACTACAGGAAAATTGGTTTTCAGAGGCGGTTATATTTGAATTTTGAGGCGGTTCAAACCGCCTCTAAATGCTTGGTTTGAAAGTTCATGAACCTCCTCATTTAGGCAAAATACGGCAGTTTTCACAAACCACTGGAATAACCGCCTCTACATACCAATTTGAGGCAGTTATTTTAACCGCCTCCAAAAGATATTCTGAGGCGGTTATATTAACTGCCTCCAAATAACGTGTGATCACCTCAAAATAGTTAAAATTATATAAATTTTAAAATTTTAATATTAAAAATGTTATTTTTAAAAGTTAATATATATTTTCGACAATGATTAGTTAATATGATTTTTTGAAAAAATTTATTTTTAAAAGTTAATATAATTTTTATTAGTTGAATATAAATAGCTTATTAAATTTTGTATATATGTGTGTTAGTGTGAGTTGTTATATAGAAGGGAATGGAGAAGGAGGAACAAGGGTCATCCAATAAGGGACTTCAAAGTTAAGATGAGATGGTTTTTTCAATGTGCAACAGTCATCTTTGGAAATTTATAAATATCACCAGATGATTAAACTTAAAAATCTAAATGGTCAGATTAAAGTATTACAAGAGAAGAACATACTAACCAAATTTGAGGACGATCCAACGGTAGAACCAAGAGATCTCCCTCTTTGAATCTCACTGTCTGATAGATCATGAACCGCCTCTAAATATGTTTTAGAGGCGGTTATTTTAACCATCTTTAATGTAACTTTTGAGGCTGTTGACATGAAATCGCCTCCTAATGTCTATTAGAGACGGTTAAAATAACTGTCCCCATTTACCATTCCGATGAGGTTACATTAAAATTGTCTCTGATTGCTACATTTAGAGGTGATTATACCCCAACCGCCTCTAAATGGTCAATGAGGGCAGTTATTTTAACCGCGTCTAATATACATTTAGAGATGATTACAGTTTAAACCGCCTCTAAAGGTACAAATTAGAGACAGATTTAATGTATTTGAGGTTTTATCTTGATGCTAGTGAAAGT